TTTTTAGGAATATTATGAGATTTATTATAGAAAATATTTTCTATTCTGTACTGTTGCAAACATAGATAATGCTATTTTATCATCAACCCATATTCTACATATTCTTGTAATCTCGTATGATTGCATTACAAAGAGAGAAATATTCTACAATGCAACAGCATTAGACGGCTGTATCTGAAAGGCTTTAACAGTGAAATAAAAGTTAAATTTCAGCTGAATTAATAACATTATAGCCCCGTAACAAAATCACGACATAATCTGATGAACGCTACAGTGTAGGCCTTTATGTTCTCTCTTCGGTGTTCAGACAAATTAATCTGTTCTGAATTTCCGCTCGTAACGCAAAGAAAAAAATTACAAATGAAAACTCTGTTTCCGACGTGAAATTAGCGAACTGGAATAACACTGTTACGTTTTTTTTTATTACATTTTTTACATAAACCTGATTTATGGGTTCACTCTTCGAAGTTAATTTTCTCTGTGGGTTTGTATATATGTGTACATTTGTACATTAGGTAGTTACCAAGGAAATACCATATATGATGCTAACTAAATGGAAGCCCATTTCAAGGTCATACATTATAAATTGATTTTATAAGAACAAGATTACAGTTATTAACAGTGTCTTAATCTTCTCATAAACTTAATTCCCAATGTTACAATTATACACAAATAACGTCTAGGAAGAATTCAACCACGTGTCCAGACGTCAGGTCTTCGTGAGCAATCGGTGGCATTTACGATGTTTTCCCTTTACAAACTGCAAGTATAAGGCAAGGAAAAGCGTATTTATTTTCCAGAAAAGCAAGGAATAAGAAAAAAATATCTGTGTACGAATATCTCCAACTTTGGTCAACCTAATGTGTCATTATTCAGAAAGCGAAATAACTGAAATATTATTACATTAAACTCAGGAAAGAATGCAAATTTTATTACGAGATATTTCATGTAAGTCAATCGCTTCTGTACCCTTTTCAGATTGCAGAATGTCAAAATTCCTTTGAAGACAGCAAAAGTTCAACAAAAACGTAATTATTTATCGCCCAGATTTCTAAATTCTAACGCAAAAGAAAATAATTTAAATGTAGATATTTATCATTTGTTAAAGAGTACTGAACTGCTAGGCGATATCTGTCCTCCTTTGCGGCAGCGAATGTTGGACGGTCTCTTCAAATATGAAGAAGAGACTCGTGAAAAGAGAGGTGTACTTCTATAAAAGGATGCTAAGGATACCATTGTCCGAACATGTGTTCAACGATAAGGTTTTGGGGAG